GGAACACTAGAATTACTTTGCCACGCAAGGCCCTTGACATTTTGTCTGTGTAAGCACATGAAGATGATAGTAGGTTTGAAAAATACCCGGATGGCCGACGGTTGAGTATTTGCAAATCTTGTCTTTTTGTAAAAATTCAATTTCAATAAATTTACGCTGGCCTGAGATATTTCACAAGTTCAAATGAATAATATTTGTGAATTAATTTACCATACATGTTCCTTTTAAATTTCATTTGTATGATATTCGGTTTAAAAATCGGTTTCTTTTGTTCTTTCTTATTTATAGAGATATTATTCAATTTTTCGGAATATATTTTCAAAACTGCTGTCAGAAAAAAAATAATTTACCTACCAGGTTAAATCTAAAGCAAACTAGCATGGCGCGGCGCCATGCCCTTTTCTCTCGGCGCCATGCCCTTTTTTTCCAGCGCCATGCCCTTTTTTCCTTGCAAAAATAAATAAATATGCCTAGCAGAGGCAAGGTGGACTAGCGGCTTTGTTTATTCAGTGCATCCTGATTAGCCCCTTTGTTTATTTAATGCACGCAAAGGTGTGAATTCAGGACAGGAAATCACTTCTCGCTTGAACGCACACAGCCACCTGGCCAGGTAACATGCCTCAGGCTGTCAGGGTATAAGAGATAACACGAGAAAATATCATTTGATTGCATTGATTTTGCAAGAATTAGCCTAATGTCAAAGATAGATTAATTTGTAAATTAAAATGTTACACATTTTAAATCTGGATCGTTTTTTTTTTAAATTGAAAGTAGAAAAAACAGAGTTGATGAAGAAATGTGAAAAATAAAACTGCTGATGAATTAAGTCGGCTTACAATGTACCAAAAAACTGAATATTATGTGTGAAATGGGCTAGGAAACAACAAAGTATGAAGTTAGTTTCTTTCAACATGTTCAATGATTCTGTGTTCTAACTTTTTGAGTTGACACCCTGAGGCTCAATGTTTCTAAGCCAGAAAAAAAGTTTTAACCAATTTATATATTAATTCCAGTTTAATTTTTTGGTATGATCAGTTTTCACTTGATTTTGTTGGTTGATTACTTTCAAAATAAAGAGAATGCCCTCTACATTTATTATCCAAGTAGCCCCCCCCCCCCTTTGCAATTTTGTTCTGTTATTTACCTCATACACAAATAACAATATTAAAGCAAGGAAAAAAAATTCATACCCCAAACTTAAATAATTCTTGAGCAAGTGACAAAAAGATTCACACCCATTACTTTTTAAGCATAACATTGATAACCATAATTTCTGGATTAAAAAATTTTGAATTTAAATTTTGGCAATATTTGCCCTCTCAGTGTGTATTAAATGAATTAAGCTAACAGATTTATAATTTTTTCTTTTAAATACTTGTAAAACTAAAGATTTCAGTATTAAATAATAATTAAAGTACATAAACATGATAAAGAAAATATTTATAATTTCAAAGACGTTAAAAAAGTGCCCTCATGAAAACTTGTCGCGGCGTAAAGTGCCCTTTTGGTTATTGGATTACCATGCCCTTTTTAGTGTCTGGATTTAACACTACTACCTACCTACTCAACTTGAAATTTTAGGGTCGGGTTAGGGGAAACAAAGATATTTTTAATGATGGCCTGAGTAAGGATATGAAAGGTCAGGCGAGTTCACGCCAGGTAAATAACAATTGTTTACAATGGGGAAGGCCATTTGGATTTGTGAAAGTTTTTAATTATATGAATTGAGCACAATTTAAGGTACAATTTTCTTCTTTCATATATACAGTAAAACTTGTTGAATCCGGATGTTGTGCATTCCGGCATGTTGTTCAGTCCGGCGAAATATTTTAGTCCCTTGAATTTTCTTTATAATTTATGTTTAATAAATGTTGTTCAATCCGGATCTTGCCTATTCTGTAAACCGGCCGCTATTTAAAGAACTAACTGCTCATAATTAGTACAAATTATCTCCTCTAATCCGGCCACTTATTTTTACCTGTGCCCGCTAGTCATTATAGAAGTCTCGCGTGGGGTAATTATTGTCCCGTTAATGATCTATCCTGTATCAACAGTTTAGATTTTAACAAACATGATAAAAAAAATGGCTCAAGTAAGGCGGGGAAACTCGCATAAGAATGAGTGATAGTGATGGTTATATGTAGCTTGTCTGTAGAAAATCTTGGAGACTTATTCATGACCTCCTTTCTACTTTCGTTTCGCGTGCACGACGTGCAATTCGAATAACTTCCCTTTGTGTCGCTAGTTTACAACGACCATAGCGACAGAAGATTTTGGTTCAATATTCATTACATGTATGACATTTGAAATCAGGGATGGGCATGATTACTGAAAAATGTAATCGATTAATAATCGATTACTAAGAGGAATTTTGTGTAATCGATTAATAATCGATTACACTCATTTTTGTCCTGTAATCGATTGTAATCGATTACTTTGGAAGATGTAATCGATTAATAATTGATTACTTCCAAGTTTTTATCCCTTCAAATATCAAAGCAATATTTAAATGGTAAATGTTGATGTTATCCACTGAAGTTTGAATGTGTTCCTGCAGTTTCAGTGCAGATTCTTTTAATGATTTACTCTATTATTTTATTATTATGCTAACATTTTCACTAAATGTCCAAATGAGGGATTCTCTACCATGGAAAGTGGAGACATGATTCCTACAATAAAATATGCCAAGGAATTAATTATTCCTTTCAACCTTGGATCTGAACCTCCATATTTATTGACTTGTTGCAAAAATTATTTAATATTTTATTGTGAATTACTTCATTAGAAGTTTTTTGGACTGCCCGTATGTTGACAGTACACATTAAAACATTCCTGTGCTTGTCTTTTTCAAAAAAAATAAAATAAGTAAATTAGAACTCAGATCGAGTAATAAATATGTAAATTAAATTGTCTTTAAGTAATTAAACAAATAGCACAATTTCATTCTGTATTGAAATAAGTGTTTTGAGAGATATATAAATAGTTTTAATAATATTGTTTGTCTTCAATGGAATGAAAGTTAAACACTAGGTAGTTCACAGTTTACACCTCATTATCTGCAAATCAGGGATGTCTCAATCAATTAATTTAATTAGCCAATTAAGATAAGTAAACACAGTGACACTTACGGTTTATTCCCCGAACGTCTACTTGCTAAAGCTAGTTCATAAATGATATACCCCTTAGAGGGCCCCTTAATTGAGTGTGATAATTAGATGTTGGTTTAGTCCAGTAGACGTTCTCGGGGAACACACCACACTTACTCCCTCTCTTACAGACACTTAAAACCTCTCACTGATATAAAAGCAACCGTACAACATGTACAATTTTGAATGAAAACATGAGAATGATTTTGCAAATTTTAAAGTTACTAAAACACAAGTTTGAAGTTGTTGAAATATTTTCAGATATGAATATTAAGTACATGTATTTCCATCTTCTTTTTTTTTGAGTACAATGTAGTTTATTTACCAAATTAATTATATTTAATACAGCACTTAAATCTGTTTTTTCTATTTATAATTTTCTATTACAAGACAAGGTTTTTTAACATCTGAAATATGAAAAAGGACATTCAGCAAGAGGACAGTGGGTCAAATGTAAAATGCACACAAAAATTCTGTGTATTTTATTAATAAATGGTTGAAATACACTTCTGAATTATTTAATACTAGACCAGAAGGTCTATAATGCAAATTTTATTGAGAACATTATTAAACTTCTGATAATAAAAGTTAGGAAATCCAAACATTACACTAGGGGGGTTTATATTTCATATTTATGTGTGACTGACTGGAAATGATTCTCCAAAATAACATCCATTTATGTATAAAATAATCGAAAGTAATCGAAAAAGTAATTATAATTACATTGAAAATTTTAGCTGTAATCGATTAAATTACGATTACAAGTAAACAAAAATCTCTTCGATTACAGTTTACTGTCGATTACTTGAAAAGAAGTAATCATTACAATCGATTACGATTACTCGATTACGATTACCCCATCCCTGTTTGAAATTAACTAATACAGTGTCTAAATATTCAAACATATTAATTTTAAAAGAAAGAAATTAATTAGGAATCTGTCCCTAACAAAATAATATTTACAGCTACGATGAGGTTTTGGAGTTGTTTAAAACATTAAACGATTTTCAAATTTGATAAATGATCAAGAGATATTATATTTCGATACTGAATAAAAAACTTGAACAGAAATGAAAATTCTGAAGAACAAACAGAGTTCAAAACAAACGGAAATAGACGATTTTTTTCAAATGACACACTTGATCAAGTATTTATTTACCATGCACTCTTTGTTTATATCTATGTAATTTTTAACTTAATTGCTATAACGGTTCAATTTTCTCCAATCCGGATGTTGCCTAATCCGGCCAAAAATTTTGGAACCACTGGTCGCCGGATTAGACAAGTTTTACTGTATATATAAAACTATATATATAGGTAGATCTTAATAAAATGCAGTGACCAGTCGTGAGAGAAAAATGTACTTACTCATGTTACTTGGGCTCATGTATTTTAGGAGCTTTGTAAAGTTGGGCAGGGCTAAAAATGAATGGGAATATTGGATGTAAACAGTGTACCCCTACCTGAAAAATAAGTTATATATATCTTACATAATTCTAATTTTCGGTTAAAGTGGTTTTCCATGAAGGTATGTATATATCAAAGATTAAGTATATGCAAAAAAAAAAGAGTAAAATTCGGATAATAATTTTTGTCAATATACTGAGGGGCGGTATAGCACATCATCCTTTTAATAAATAGCTGACATTGACATGCTAATTCCAATCACTGCCACTCAGCTATTAAACTAAAGCAATGATATATTCCTCGAAACTTTGAAAGTAGTTTAATAAACTGGTCAACAAAGCTGGTCAATATTTCACCATTAATATACACTGACCAGTTGATTCAGCTGTTTATCAGAAATTGATATAAAGAATTAAGCCAGGCTGTTCATTATCTGCACTTGCTTACCTTCATCCTAAGTCGACGGTCAATCCTAAATCCCAAGGTCATACTCGTGTACTAACATACGCCACGGCAGATTTTATATGTATACATCAGTCGAGACGATACCTGGCATCACAAAATCACTTACTTATTAACAGTGATTAATAATACACTAGAATCCTTTTACTAGCGATACGAAAAAAGAAACACGAACCTCCATCATTATTTGGGGCACACGCACTTCGGCATTTGTATCAAATTCAAACTCCGATCCCGATTCTTAAGCGGGGAGGGGAAAATATCGCTGTCTCGAGTGATAAGCAAAAGTCATGCATTTACATTGCCACTTTGTGAACGTGCTATATTTGTTTATTTAAAAAATGTGAAGCTTGCTTTATTATTGTATCTATAATTTATTTACTTGGACTAGTTTATCAATCCCGTAACCATGGTAAGCTATGAAAATCTGCACGTGCTATTGTCAAAGAGATCAGCATGAAGCGACATTTACATGTAATATTTATTAATAGAACTAGTCCAATTATTTTTTTTCTTTTTTAACTAAAATTTATTTTTTTTTATTGATTTTTTTTAATGAAAAAATATAAATAAACCATTTAAAAAAATTAAACTAAGGAGAATAAAGATTTATAGAAGCTTGAATTAAGTCATAAAAAAAATCTTTCTTTTGGGAAAGTGTTAGTAAATACTCGTATTAAAATCTCATTTGACTTTCTTTATTGATACTGATATTGACTACAGCGATTACTACTATGAAAAGTCACTGACTAGAAATTAATTATATTCATCAAGAAATGAACAAAAATTGTTTCTCTTACAATCCGATTTATTAAGAAGATATACATGTACATATTTTATGTTATTTGAACGGAGAGATTGGAGAAAGTTTTGAAGAAAAAAACTTATATTTCTATTTCAGGTGTATTCGGGAACAGCTAGTAGGACTTTTTGAAAGTCTCATATGCACAATTCTCTCTCTCTCTCTCTCTCTCACACACACACACATACACACATTGGGCCTACATCTTACTTTTTCTTTCTTAAAAGAAAAAAAAGTAACCCCTTCTTGATCCGCCAATGTACGTGAATATGCAATTCTGGATGCAAACTTTTTTTAAACATGTTAATCTCTATGTTGGAAGAGGAAAGATTTTTGACCTACATATCATGTGCTTTGCCCTGGTTAATATCACGCTTTCTAAATCAGGGTCGTCTGCATAAGAACGCAGCGTGCTTGTCTATCGATTGCAACTTGTACAGAGATATCTAGTAAAGATTTGATTTTAAAAGAGGGGGAGGGGGTCATGATGTGAATATTATTTGCAAGGAAAATGTTCCATCGTATTGATGACAAACTACCTTGTAAAGAAGGCTAGCTTCTCTAAAAAGAATACAGTCGGGAAGGGGGGGGGGCATAAAAATACTTGACAAGCCAAAAACAGAAAAGGTCATTTTTACAAACTCTTATGATGGAATATATATTTTTTTTAGTTAATTTTTGTTTTAAATGATTGTAAGGTTCAGAGGATCGATGATCTTTGATTTACAATTAATTTTTTTGAGAAAATTTTGGTCTCATACATGTCTAGACATGAACATCAATTTCATCTTTTATTATCTATTTATAAGTATTTTTAGGGGGGGGGGGGTTCTTACATCATTTGAAGCATATAATTATAACAAATGGGATAACTGGTTACACGTTTAGATGTACTACATTTCAAAGAATGAAATTAAAGGTAAACATCAAAGATAATAAAGTACACGGATTCCCCATTCTATAAAATATGCTATGATTTTATGATTTATATTTTGAAACTTATTTTTTTTTTTAATTTATCACCCTGTATTTATACTCTTTATTTGATACAATTCCTTCCAGCTGAGCGTTGAACTGTGTCCCCACACATTTTGGACGAAGTAATTAAAGTTTAGCTACTAACAATGCTACATTGTATTATAGGATCATCGAATCTGTTTTTTTAATTGCTTGTCAATTAAGTATTTTAACCCCCCCCCCCCCCCCCGATTGTATTCTTTTTAGAGAAGCTAGCGCTGGCCTTCTTTTCAAGGTTGTTTGTCATCAATACGACGGAGCATTTGTTAAAAAAAAAAAAAAAAAAAAAGAACTGTTAACAAACTGTTCTAAAACATGTAAAAGACTTTCTGAGCCATGCACCAGGCCCTCCTTGTAAGTTTATGATCATGCGATTTTGCTTAAGAAAACCATCAAGCAAACAAAACAAAAAGTTTATAACATCTTTTTTCCTCTTTATTTATTTATCTATTTAATTTTTTGTACGTATGAAATCCAATTTCATTTTATTAATTCAAAGATAAAATCATGATTATGTCATTTGTTCGCGACATTTTTATCATGAAATAATTCTGATACATGCATTATAATTAATTAAGATACAGCAATATCCCCGGTGAGCCTCTCGTGAACACTTCTGAATGCAAGACTTATTTGTTTCAATCGCTACATTCGGGAAGGACAGAATTTTTGACCTAAATTTCCCTGCTTTTTAACACAGTCGTCTGCATAGGAATGCGGTATTGCTGTATCAATTTACAACTTGTGTAGGAAATCTGGAATCTAACAAACCACAAGCTACCCAGCAAAGCCCCCCCCCCCCCCCCGAAAAGAAGAATTAAGATCTTAATGTGAATAGAATAATATGGCATTTATTACCAAATCAGTGACCAAATGGGCATAAACATATAACATATAAATTACAGACAAACACAATGGAGAGTAATTCTTCGAGTTAATACATTGGTGGTATTTCTAAAATATCATATGTAGACATGAGTAATTATAATTAATTTATATACAATTTTCCAAGAATGAATTCTCGATTAAAGACACAATTACCAAGCCTTTTTAAAGTTATGAAAGATCTTGATTTGCCAATCATGGAAACATATAACACCACATTATATATCATATTGCAAACTATATATATATAATTATATATAGTAGTAATAAGTTGACAGTCTCTGTTTTAAGCCTATAAAGTTTGTGGATTTCAAATCAATAGAAAATGTCACTAGAAAATATTGAAGTGAGATGAAAATGGTAGATGTAAAGTGATTTAGACGTGGGTTTTAAAATAGCAATAAGAGTGAATCATCTGAAATAAATAATTTGAGAAAATTTCCCCATTTTGGCTTTTATTTACAAATAATTGATTCCCATGCAAATATATAACCTAGTTTTGTTTCATTTAATCAATGTACATGTATAAGAATACCCTGCTTCAAAGCATCCTGCCTGTGCTCCTGTGCCAATGGGAGTTTAAAATTAAAAAAAAAAGTCTAAGCCAAACTTGCAATTCTATCCAAATTTAATGTTTAAAATGCACTATTGCAGGGCATTAGAAAAGGTAATAAAGATGTCACTTAACATTCAACAATCTCTTTAAATCATCCCACATTATATGTCATATAAGTAGTAAATATCAGTACCCATGCTAAAGCATGTACAGCATGTGGATTTCATATCATTAGAAAATATCATTTTAAACTCATTATAACGAAATAAGATAAAAGTGATATATGTAAATTAAATGATCTAGACATAGATTATAAATTAGTAAGAAGAGTTTATCATCAACTTGTAATTTTTGTCATAAAATCCTTTGACAAAATTTCCATTTTAGTCTGATATATATAGTTTTTAAATTCAATAATTTGCCTGCAGATATGCTCCTTAGTGATGTTTCATTCAATCAATAGATGTAGGAAACACCCTCATAGGTTGTCTGCTTCAAATTAAGAATTTGCATGTGCTCATGGGCACAGGAGAGGTTGGGTGAGACAAGTGCAAACCCAACCTGTTTTAGTATTTAGAGATTTCTCATAAATGATAAAAGGATTCCTTAAATTCTATTCAGCAGGATTATAAGGAATTATTAAAGTAATGAAGAAGACACTTAACTTACATTATTTCTTTACATCATCAAACTTTATAAGTCCATATTATATGTCATAATGCAGCTAGTAGTAAATAGCTGACAGATTCCTTGCTAAAGCCAGTACAGCATCAGGATTTCAAATCATAAGAAAAATAACATCTAGTAATCATTATAATGACACAGAAATGAAAAATTTAATGCGGTCTAGACATATAATTTCAAATAGTAATCAAAGTTGAATACAAACTTCTCATCCTCTATCATAAAATTACATGAAATAAAAAAAAATCTGCTTTGGCCACATTATCTGCCAAATTGTGATAAGGAGCAATTAAATAGCTGATAAGCCCATGCTAAAGCCTGTATAACATGTGGATTTCAAATCATTAGAAAATACCAACGCAAAATCATTGTCATCATAACATGAAATTGATAGACTTAAAGTAATCTAGACATATACTATTTACATTAGTTATAAGCGTTGATCATCAACTTCACATGTTCTGTAATAAAATGACATGAAAAAAAAATCCTTTTTGTCTCTCATTTATTAAATAGAATATTTCCCTGCAAATACATGCTTTAGTTTTGTTTCATTCAATGAATAGGTGTCGGAATACACTCGTGCATTATCTACTTGACAGGACGTTGCAAGTGCCCATGTTCACATGGGAATTTGGATGAAAACGTTTTAAGCTACACCTGTTGTGACAGTCGTATTTAGATATTTTTATCCAAATTCATAGTAGTATTTCTTAAAAGCTATCATGAACTAATGCAGGACATTGCTTAAGTAATGAAGATGACACTAAACATTCAACTATCCCTTTGTTTCATCAAAATGTATAGTTCACATAGATGAGATATCGCTATAACAGCATATATCTGACAAATAACTTGCTTGTAGCCTGTACAGAAGCAGGTAACAACGTAAGGCTCAATATTTTCATTGCATTTGGAAGGAACTGAGGTTTAATTATGCAAGTGATAATCCAACTTATACCCATAGAAGAATGAAATTCTTTTAAATCATATGCCAGTTTTAAATATTTTTAATAATCCCAACTATCAAAATGAAATATACCTATACCGAAAGCCTAAACTTCATAAAAAATCCTTACAAACAAAGATACGTAGCACATTCAAGTAAATATTCTTTCAAGCTTCTTTCTTCACTCCCCACTAAAATATTATCATAAGTAAAGGGGAAACTTCAGGAGTACTATACAACAATATATAAGTGGTGTAAATCAGATGTCG